AACATAATTAATTTAAGATATAAAATTTGTATAATATAGTCAAGATATATGTGTACTAAAAAATATGTGAAACTTATTTTTATATGTTTATATGTATGTCTATGCATAGATTTTTTTTAATATCAACATGTTTAAACAACATATTTTCATAGTCATTTATGTAATAATAAGTTCAATAATAATATTGAATCCGTTATATTCTACTCAGATGAGGAGGACAGTGCTACAGCTGCACCTACTATTGCAACTCCTAAAGAAAATTTAGAAGACAACGTCTCTATTCATATTTATAAAGAAAGTATCACTGGTGGACATTGGTGTGCACGAATTATATTCTTTGTTATATTAGCTGCTCTTGTCGGCTTAGTCGGTGTAATTATTTTTGAGCACAGAGGCACCTCAGATAGTAAGTAAATTTGAAATGCACTTGTATTGTGGATACGACAGTTAAGCATACAAATTATTTATATGTGATATTTCATGTTATAAGTTGATACACCATTAGAATCGTCACGCTGGGCTTTCATTTTTGATGGGTGGGTTGATGATTCACTATCCTTACACGATGATGAGCCACATGATGAAAAAGAGCATGAAGAGAGTACAGAAATTGAAAAAGATGATGTAGAAGAGAAACATGATGAAGCTTCAGAGTCCGTAGAAGCCGAGGCATCTAAAGAAGAGGAAGAAGAGGAAGAGGGGGAACAAGAAGGAGAGGAGGAACAAAAGGAAGACCAAGAGGAGGAGCAAGAAGAAGAGCAAGATGATGATGAAGAAGAGGAAGAAGAACAACAAAGCGAGGAAGAGAGCCAAATTGAAGAAGATAATGAAGAAGATGATAGAGAAGTTCAAGAAGAAAGTGAAGAAGAAATAAATAGATATGAAGAGCAAGAGGAAGAGGAGGCAACTGAAAATGAATCAGATGAAGAGCAAAATAGAGGTTCTCTGGATAAAGAAGGTACTGAGATGTAAAACATTGCAATATAAACAAATGTAAGAATTGAAGATATTATTATAAATTTTAATTCTAACAGAATATATTAGCACAGAATTAGATGAGCAAACAGAATATGAAGACGAAAACCTTAGAAATGATATTGAAGAAGATGAAGATACAAGTCCACAGAATTTTTATGATACTGACGTATTAGAAGAGGTTGATGGTAATAGTAAAGAAGAAAGTACAGAACACGTGTTAATGGAATCAGAGCATCCATTTCAAGAAGTTATAAATCCCCTCACTGACGAGGATGTGTTTGAAAGATATGTAGACATTCCTGGTATTAATGATATTAATGACGACAATATAGAACCCTTAGAAGAGGTAAGACTATTATAATTATGTGTCACTATTCAGGCAATAGTTTTAAGAGGAAAGATACTTTTCAAAAATTAAACATATGTATTAGTAAGATTAATGTGTAATCCTTTATATTAAACAGATTTATTTCTGACAAAACAAACTACACTTTTAAAGTATTTAATAATGTTGTACAGATTTTGTAGAACATATTGTATAAAAATTGTTTCATTCATAAACTATACTGTTCAGACAAGATATTTGTTCTTTCGAAATTACGTTAAATTATAGCATGTACTTCGTTTCTTAGCCTGTATCATACTTTTCTTTATATAGATTATAAAGTAGCCTTTAACCATTTTTGTACTAGGTAGAAAGTATAGAACCTGAAGAATATATTAGTGATGTAGATAAAAAGCCAGAAAAAGAAGATGAAGAAGAAATTGAAGAAGAAGAATCTATAAATGGTAAGTCGAACACGAGCACTTAGAATTCTACACACGTAGAATGATCGTATATGTAAAACTATTTCCATGATCCTCCATGCTCTCACATATTTTCGCAAATATAAGTATATAATTAGCATAATTATCATAATTCTTATAACACTGAAATATTTTCAAGCATCAATGAGGAATAATGTTTGATGATTGCAGTGGCTATGAAGTTTGGAGTTGGTGTGGCACTTGTTATTGCTGCACACTTTGTCCTTGTCAAACGGTGGAACAATGGTAAATTTTGTGATAGTTATGTTTTGAAGTATTGTGTCATAACCATATTCATTGAAAATTTCTTTTATAAATCAAATAATTAAGCGATTCTTCCTAACTATCTATGTTTTTCAGTGATCTTGTATACATACATATGTTATTATATTATTTCTAATATTACAGAGTTGTTTAATTGTCAAGTAATAATATCCAGTCAGAGCGATTAAAATTCATCTCGAGTATTAATACAAAAAAATGCTATTTGTTAATATAAAAACATTATTGGTATATAATACCGATATTCTGATATTATTTTTAGAAAGCATTTAAATATTTATATAAAGATAATATTAAGAGAAAACTGAGAAAATATTTACACAAATATAATAGAACATATGTAAAAAAATACATACTATAAACTTCATTGTTTAGTATTATTAAAATAGATGTTAATTACTAAATATTATTAATCAATGGTATACTTTTTTGATGTTTAGAAGTTGCGTTTGTTCAAATTGAACCTCAATTACTAGTTTCTTCTGAGAAACTAAACAAAGAAGAAAAAGTACCTGCAGAAAAGGAAAAAATTTCTGATACAGTAGTTTCTCAACAAGTGCATAGACAAGAAAAGAAAGAGACTGAGAAAGAAAGAGAAGAAAACGAGGAGGAGGAAGGAGAGGAAGGAGATTTGGAAGATTTGGAGGATGAAGAAGAAGAAGATGAAATTGATGAGGAAGAGGAAGTAGAAGATGAAGAAGAAGAAGAAGCTGATAGTGAGAATTGGGAATGGAAAGAAGAACAAGATTCTGAACGTGAAGAAGAAATAAAGATCAAACAAGGACGTAAAAAACAAAAGAAAGAATCAGAAGAGGAAGAAGAGGACCAGGAAGAAAGTGAAATTGAAAATTTTGACGATTCAGAATTAATTGCTAAACTCGAAGCCAAATACGGGAAGTTACAAATTGTAAAAAACAACGAAGAAGATTCGGAAGAAGAGAAAGTAGCGCCAAGTAAAAACGTAACAAAAAGGAAACGTAACTAATAGTGTATTAGACTGTATG